ATTTAATATAAAAAAAAAATAGTAACTAATTAGTTAATTTCATTAATTAATTTCATTAATTCATAATTATTTATTGTTGCATAAAGCCCGTTATACCATTAACGAATTCATGACTGACAATTATAAAGATTTTAAAAAATTACAAATATTAAATAGATTATTAGATATTTTGATTATTAAGTTTAAATTTTTATGTTTAATTGTAGTAAATTGAATTGACATAAGTTATTTATTATTGTATTTGTAATTAAAAATTATAATTTAAGGGACATTAGGTAGTCATAATATTTGTATGACCAATGACGGTAAAACATAGCGCTTTACACATCATCTCAACATCAAATGTATAACTGTACCTGTATTTATGCAAGTAAATGACCGATTAATCAATTGTGAAAACTGGACCCAGTAGGTGGTAAGAGGGGACAAAACAATAATTAAGGGGTCAATTATAATCTGTTTCCATTAGACTTAATGAAAAAGTGACCAAGTAATGTACTCTATACTACTTGTACAGTTACACATGTAGTCTGCATTCTATATCATTTTTGGGAGGATTTTTGAACTTCTAAACGCCTTTTTTATACCACTGAGATGGCAAACAAGCATACATCCCACCTGATGGTAAGCGGTTAAAAAAAAGAATGCCTGAAAAGATTTCAATATATGGAATCTCGTTAGAATTCTTAATCCTTCTTATTTTAATGGACAATAATGGAATAGTTATCCCGCTTGTGCTAACGGTATACTCTGGTAGAGCACCAGTGAGGGAAGGTATGTTAGGTGAGAATAAAAAAGCAGGTTACTTAGCCCATTATGATGAATATATCTGGAATTCAACACAATGGTTTCCAGGGGGGACTACGTGGAGATCGATCTGATAGGGTATATTGCTAGCAATGGAACTGGCACTCCGCACTATTAACAATCCCTTCCTCCCCCTCTACTCTTAATCCTCATACAATACACAATACTGTGACTCAAATCATAAGTTTTTTTAAAAAAAGAGTTCATATATGGCAAATTAGTCGTGTATATATATATATATATATATATATAGCTTGCAGAGCAAAATTCTATTGGTTTATTACCCAATTATTCTTACTTTGATTTACATAATATCCCGATCACCTGACGCGCCTCGTTAACGTTCGTGTGACGAGAGGAGTAATTAATTTCAAAGCAATTACTCGGATCGTGATCTGAAGCGCCCCTCAGTGTAATATCTAATATTTGTAGGTGAACTATTTCCCGTCAAAGGAACTTGTGAACCGTAACTAAAGTAGCATATCGGCCTCTAAGCAAACATGGTGTAAAATTTAAGGGTTTACCCTCCTGCATCGGCGTATGACAAACTAGATTCTGTAATCTGCTTGATTTCGTATTTAATCGTCAATCGAATCGAATTTTAGTTTTCAATGTTTATTAATATTTATGCAATTTAAAGTGACAAACAAGTAACGCCCCACCTGATGGAAAGTGGTTAATGTTGCCTATAGACATGAGCAGTATTATGGACATAACAGAGTGTAATATGTTGGCCATGATACCCCTCATAAGGGGGAAGGGATTGTTAATAATTGGTATTAGTAGCCCCAATACCCTATCAGGTGGACCTCCTCGCGGTTCCCTCTGGAAGCTATCTATTCTATAATGTAATTGTATTTTATAAAATAATAATTACTATATATTTATATCTTTAATTAATATTTTATATAATAAAAAAATTGTATACCCTATAATTGTGTAGAGAATGCTATATAGTATTAAGTACGCCTTTTATACCAGACATTTTTTGTAATGTGGTCAATAAAGAATAATTAAATAGTGTTGAAACATACATTATAACATGAAACATACATTTCTACAGCATCAAACTATACCTACGTTTAGCAAATAAATGAATGACTGATTGATTATATTTAAAACAATTTAAAAATACCAAGGAATAACACCTGAGTCCTCAGGAATAGCGACGCATGGAGATATCATGGGCGAAACAGTATGCTCTGTTATGTCCATGGTACTGCTCATGTCTGTAGGCGACGGTTACCATTTTCCAACAGGTGGGCCGTCAGCTTGTCTGCCATTCTAAGTTGTATATAAAAAAAATCCCGTCCTTAGGTTGCCTGTAAGAGATCGCTGTTTACCAATAATCTCCATCCATTCTTTGAAGGGAACAATAGAGTTTTCATTCACTCATTCTTTTCTAGAAGGCATCTACTTTCAAATGAAAAAATGTATTCATAAATGTAATTAAATAAATAAATTTATGTAATTTATAAATGTTTTCATTTAGAGAACCTATAAATTCATTATACTGGGCACAACATGCAAATTCAGAATATATCCATTATGCGCATTACGGGATCACGTCAGAACATTACGCAGTCGGCTAAGTGGGGTTATGTTATTGCACTTACGCCTCCGCCGATAGTTCTGTACTAAGCCACTTAAGTTCTGTCTAATTTGCATATGATATTATTGTGGCGATCGATTATTCGGATTATGGGCGTGTCCAGAGACAAATGGGAAGGGTTGATATATGTGAACGCATTAACGTTAACGTTTTTAAACACTAGTTTTTACCTGCGACTTCGTCCCTGATATTTTCGCTGACCTAAATAAAAGGTAGCCTATGTCCTTCGATATCCTAGACCATCTGTATGCCTAATATCATAGTGAATGGTTAAATCATTCAGGCCCCAAGAAAACAATTAAATTTTGTTTAATTTATTTATTTATAATTATTTCTAACCACAAACAATTAAGGACTTACTATCTATAACTCACAGAACATGCAGAACAGAAATTGGTAGATCATCCCTCATCTGGTGCGCCGCCGGATTGTTTGTCATTCTAAGTTGCATAAAAAACTATGCTTCCTATAGAACAGTATAAGCGGTTTTTTCTTCTATCTAAGAGACATTTCGAAGAGCCCATAACAATAACAGGGAAGCGTTGCCAATCCGCAAACTGCACAGACGTCTATTATTGGAAGCCGCAGCCTGCCGGCTCGTGAGCGCCACTAAATCTGTGTTTAACGAACCGTCCTCGAACTAAAGAAATCCCACCCTCGCTTTACAAACATGAGATTGTTTCACAGCAATTTTATGAATTCTTGCCTGTGATTGTTGTATAAATATTGTTTATTGTAAATATTATAATAATTACACTTGTTATCAAATAAAAGGCCTTATATTGCAGCGGTTCAACATATTGCCTCTCCTTCTGGAAGTTACGGGAGCAATACCTGGGCTTTTTTTTAACTTAAAATGGCAAACAAGCTGACGGTCCACCTAATGAAAAGCGGTAGGTAACCGTCGCCTATAAACACAGAATACTCTACGGGGTATGTACTCTCTACTCTAAAGGGTATCTACCTTGGGTACTATAGTACCATTCTTGAAGGATATGGCTTTATGTTTATATTTGTCTATGTAGATATGTATGTATATTTTTATGTACTTCTCACTATTGTATAGAATATCTGTAGCAGCTATATCCCACGTTAACATAAACATACATAGTACATAAAGTACCCTGTGTGCTAAATAAGGATATAACCTACCCATATACAAAATTTCATTAAAATCCATTAAGTAGTTTTTGGGTGAAAGAATAACAAACTTCCATCCATCTATCCACTGTTACAAACTTTTGCGTTATAATAATAAGGTATACTTATAAATATATACTAAAAATACAGCAAATAATAAATTCTTGTACTATAGGTACTTAATAATTACTGCATGTAATAATCCAGATAATGTAAATTTGTACTTACGAAGACAACAAAAACAATGTGAACGCTACTAAATCTACGCTAAACGAACCATGCTCAAACTCACTCAATCCAGTTTCATTCCAACACAACTGTACGATACTCGTAAACCCCTATGTGGTGCTTGTCATCATTAATTACTTCTCTAATCCACCTGATTATCAAAATTAATTTAGCGTTCATTAATTAAAGATTAATCAGTAATTAATTAAAAACTAACCAGTAATTAATTAAATATTAATTACTAATTAATTTAAAGATTAATCGGTAATTAATTAATTAATATAGTTCCCGTGTAAATAATATAACTTCAAAGTTGTAAGAAATGTAGATAAATTTAGATTTTTATTTGATGTATTTAATATAGTGTATTTAATAATATATATCCCGCGACTTCGTGAATAGACATGAACAGTACCATGGACATAACAGAGTACAGTGGTACCTCGACATACCTAACCTGGCTCGTATGTCAAATTGTCGTATCTCTAAGCAATTTTCCCCATTGAAATTAATTGAAATGCCATTAATTCATACTCCCAAAAAACAACCTCAGTTGTTTTTGTAAAGTGTTAGACGGCAGATGCATAAAGATCATCAGGTCTTCATCATCATGAACACATGATTGATACTGTCAATGCATAGAAATACCATTGTTTTAATAATAATAATATTTATTATTACTAGAGGGAGACTTTGTACAAAAGTCGATTGCTTGGGTACCTCTGTCCCATTCGTGTTTCTACCGTGAAGCAGTTGTGTTTGCATGGCTGTGTTTCGGTTTGAAGGGTGGGATATGGCGTGAATTTACTGGGTACAGAGGAATAACGCCTGAGTCCTCAGAAATGGCAACGCATGGGGGGTATCATGGGCGAAATAGTATACTCTGTTATGTCCATGGTACTGCTCATGTCTATAGGCGACGGTTACCAGTTTCCATCAGGTGGGTCGTCAGCTTGTTTGCCATTCTAAGTTGTTTAAAAAAAAAACATAGAAATACCATTGTTTTAATAATAATAATATTCATTTAATCAGACTACATAAGGCCCATTTTGTTAGTTATAACTTGACTTAACCTATGTTAGTAAATGAGCGGTCATAACGCTCTTGTATTGATAACCTGTCCCACCCAATATTTTAGGATGGGACAGTCCATTTTACCAGAAATTGTCTTCAGGACACTGTTTTGTTAACACAATTTTTCCAATTGTTACAGGTCAAAGTAATGTTACGAGTTGGAGCACCAGGCGAGGGTCCTTTCACGAGTGGAAACCAGACCTTCTCGCTGGACAAACGCAAGAAGCAAGTGAGCCTGTGCGAGAACGCGCCGGCCACGGCCTCAGCGCCCGAGGACAGGAAGGTCGGCGTGGCCGCACCAAAAATGTTCGCCTTCGACGCTATATTCTCACAAGATGATTCACAGGTAATTATAATTCTACATATTACATATATGCTAAAGATCTTTTTTTTTAATGGCTGATAATGGGAATGGTAGCCCCGCCTGCACTATTGATAAACGCTGGCGGGGCACCAGTGGGTAGGGATAGATGAGAATGAAAAGGCAGGTCAGTTAGCCCATCTTGATTAATACATCTGGAATTCAGCGCTATGGTTTCTGGGAGGAACCACGTGGAGGTCGACCTGACAGGGCATATTAGTAGCAGTGAAACTGGTAGTCCTCATTACCAACAACACCTCTCCCCACCTCCCCAAGCTAAAAATCTATTAGATTTATAGTCTACCATACCGCATGTCGCGTACAGTAAGAAGTGAATAGCAACACCGGATATGCCCCAGGATTGGTCCGTCTACGTTACGAAAAGGGAACAAAACTTTGCTGTATGTGTCGACGGACGACTTTCAAATTGAAAAAGTGGATCAACGCAACGACTCTTTCGTCTAAATTTATATTTTTATAACTATACGCAAAATAAAATCAAATAATTCAAGCTTGTTTATATGTGACATGAGCAGTACCATGGACATAACAGAGTATACTGTTTCGCCCATGATACCCCCCCCCCCCATGCGTTGTCATTCCTGAGGACTCAGGTGTCATTCCTCTGTACCCAGTAAATTCACGCCATATCCCACCCTTCAAACCGAAACACAGCCATGCAAACACAACTGCTTCACGGTTGAAACACGAATGGGACAGAGGTACGCAAGCAATCGACTTTTGTACAAAGTCTCCCTCTGGTAAAACGTTTATATTAAAATGTCGATGCTCTCAAAAGTGTACGCAGACGAGCCTCCAGTACCTGCTTTTGGCGTAACGCTGCTATTGTTATTATTAATTCTTACATAACATATAACAATAATATCTTTATAAGCTGTGAATGAAAGTTGAAGTCAAAATATTTCTATTAAAGAACATTAAGAGCCGCAAATCCGCCACTTCGGCGGTATGAAAGTCGACAAGAAATAAGTAGAAAATCCTCTTTACTTGAAATTATATTAACTTACTGAATGCACATTATTAAGAACGGAAACGCTCGTTGTGTTACCATTCAAAATAGAGATGGAGATATGTCTGTGTTTTTTATAACTCCATTTATAATCTGATTAAAATTATAAATATTCTTTATTGCATTAAAATATACAGAAATATACAAAAACATACAGTAAGTTGATAACAATGTTAACAAAGGCGAACTTATCTCTAAAAGAGATTTCTTCCAGTCAACCTAACATAGTGGCATAGGATGTAGTGAGTGAACAGTAGTAGTGTATATATATATATATATATATTTGAAAGATACAATATTAATACATACATATAAATATACACCTACATAAACAATATTATATATACATATATATATGTTAAATACAACATATAAATAATATTAATAGAATCTTATTTAAAATTATAACAACAATGACGTGGGTATAACAAAATTATTTGTTGGTATATAATAAAAAATTTCGTGCGGTCCCGGCATAGAATAGGCCACCCCTTCCTTTCCTGTGAGTGTCGTAATAGGCGACTAAGAAAACTCAGTGGTCGAGGGAGTCTCCAAGGTTAACTGAGGTTACCTGGGGGGAAAGGGATTGTTAGTATAAAAATTTAACAGCCCCATTGCTAGCAATATACCCTATCAGGTCGACCTCCACGAGGTTCCCCCTGGAAACCATAATGGATAATTCTTGTTCAATTGATCACTATGGGCCAACTGATCTGCCTTCATTCTCACCTGTCACCCTTCACTGGTGCCCCGCCAGGGTATACCGATAGCGCAAGCGGGGTTACCATTCCATTATAATCCGTATAAAAAAAACTGGGGTTACCTCCCCCCAATAGAGCGGAGCCTATGTTCAGCAGTGGACAATTCCCGGCTGATATTGTATGGTATGATATAACAAAATTTCAAAAGAATTAAAAAAGAAATCACTTTGAAATAACTCTTGTAATAAAAGAGATATAATTAAATATATGTACTTAATTTATATTTTAAATTCCGTTTTGAATAAATGGATTGGTAATTTTGCATTACTATATGTACTTTAAGTTCTATGAAGAACAGATCCAAATTAATAAATGTATTTAAAATAATATTGCTAAAACTTTTTGTTTCTTTTAAATGAATATATATAATTCTTAATTTTACAAAAAAAAAAACAATTAAAGTATATTTTTTTTAGTCTCTATAAATATTATTGACACTAGCTTAACGTTTAAAATGAATTCAATTAGTCTATATAAATGAAAAATAATCAAGCACTATTAAAAATAAATGATATCGCATCAATTATGGATAGTTAGCAATTTAATATTCGCTATCACAAATATTATAAATTAATGAAATAATAAAATAAAATAAAAATTAAAAACAAATTAATCAGACTATTCAAAGAGTCTGATTAAGACATTTGAAAAAAGAACAAAAATTTATTTTTAACAGTCCAACATCTATCGAGTCAGCTAGCATTTATAAATAACATTTCATAGGGAATGGAGCGAAATATTTGAAAATGGAATATAAAATCGTTTACAAACATTTTCACAGTGTAAAACTTAATAGACAATATTCAAATCGAAGGTGAACCTCCCGATATTTCGCAAGGCAAGCGCCCTCGCTCCGGAATCGTCGTCTCGAAGAAAATAAAAGAGCTCTCGAATAAAACTCTCGAATAAAGTTGCTGATGTGAATTATGAAAGCGTTATCGCAAATAGCACAGTTCGAATACATAAAATAATTGCATACGTATCACTATTGCGATATTCCTGGCTGTAATATAGGTATTTATGTCCAATTAATTATCCTTAAAGTCAGTCCTCAGTAATAGCAATGCATGAAGGGTATTATGGCCGATCCAGTATACGAGTACTCTGTTATGTCAGTAACTTTCCATCAAGTTGTCAGCTTGTTTGCCATTCTAAGTCGCATGGGAAAAAGTTAAAATCTAATGTATACTTACAAAACTGTTAATATTAAAACTACCACTGCGTTTTATAATAATCAATTCATTAAAATTTATGACAAACATTGTCAGATATTAAACAGTTTACTTCTTAATGCATTTTAGAGCAATCTGACAACCAACCTGATAGGAACTTGGATTTAAATTCAAAAAAAAATTTACGCTTTGTGTAAAAACTAATCAATGCTGTAATAAAGCATGACCTAACATGCTGCTATCAATGCCAACAAAAATTCAAAATTAATTAAAAATATACCAAATTTACACATTTCTCTAATGTGATTCTCACTCTAGGTTTAGGTTGTCTTTTGTCACACATGAAATTAAATTGTATTAATTAATCTAAGACACATGTAATACAACACTTGGGCCAATTCTGAGGCGTCATATGCCTACATTCATTTCTTAACCAAATATTTTAATTTGATAGAATCGCTAAATTACTGTTTCATGGACCACCATAAACATAAAATTTATAATTTATAGCCATTAACTGTCTACTGCTATACATAAGAGTTCCCCATAAAGGGAGTTTTGCCAGTAGTTGCCCCGCTTGGCAGGCGGATTGGCAACCGCAGTTAGGCTTTTAGAGATGTTTTAAAAGGTACGCTGCTGTCCATCCCTTGACCATTAAGCTCGTTTAATCGCCTCCTACACACAAAATTTATAACAATTTCGACATATTTCTATTATAAATTTAATTCATTATGGTCCTTAAAATAAAAATTTTACGATGGCATTAAACTGAGTATTTGTTTTAGAAATTATTTTAGAAAAATGGCGTCTCTAGAACGACTCCAACGTCTTCTAAAAATTAAAGGATAATTATCAAAATCGATTTTTTTCTTATACAACTTAGAATGGCAAACAAGCTGACGGCCCACCTGATGGAAAGTGGTAACCGTCGCCTATAGACATGAGCCTATAGACATGATACCCCCCATGCGTTGCCATTCCTGAGGACTCAGGTGTTATTCCTCCGTACCCAGTAAATTCACGCCATATCCCACCCTTCAAACCGAAACACAGCCATGCAAACACAACTGCTTTACGGTTCAAACACGAATGGAACAGAGTTACCCAAGCAATCGACTTTTGTACAAATTAGCATTAGCAAAAATATCATGGAACATACCTGTACATTGGAAAAATATAATCAAATTTTGAAATCCTCCCTTTTGAAAGGCCTTCAGAAAGTGTAATAAAAATTCGCTAGTAACAGCTCGTTCTGGATTAAACTATTCCTATTTAAATAAAAATTATACACAGAAAATGTCGCGAACGAGCACCGACTCCAGTTAGAGTTTTCATGTTGAAATTGTTAAACGCTCCTTTTGTGCAGCGTCCGGATATCACCAACTTTCGCGTCCTCGAATTCCTGGCCATTTTTCGTTGGGATTATTCAAAATTCTATATGGAAGAATGTTTGCTGGCTTGCAAATTCTATAGATGACTGGCATATTTAACTGTGAAAACTGTTTGAATATAAAAATGGACAGCGTTATTAGGGCGGAAGTGTGTATAATAGATTGTGTTATTAAAAAATATATTAAACTTCAATTACAAGTGAAAAGGCGTTTTGTATTTTAACTTAAAGCGGTAATAACACATTAAATTACTCCATCATTATACGACGAAGATGATGGACCGCTTGATGGGCAATGATAATCATTTGATACAAACTACATCATGCATAGAGATCCATCCATTTGTCGTTAAATTTACTCCAAAAGCAATAGAGAGTACATAAAATACAATAACCCAAAGGATAAGCAAACTGAAGTGGCTATGGTCACATAGTTGACATGACATTTTACATTTAAATGAAAGAAATTTTAAGATATATATAAAAAGGACTCTCTGTACAAAATTATAAATTAAATGACTATTTAAATGACAAAACTGCATGGATTTGATTTTGTATTAATGTGATTTGTATTGTAAATGTAATTATTGTAATTATAAATTGACGTATCATAAGAAGATTCTTATCTGTTA